CTAGCGGACTTGGCGCCCTAGTCGACAGGAACCGTTCATGGAAGCGTGTCCAGGCCGCGGGGAGCATGCTGTGTGTGTGGGCCAGTGGTCTTTGATCCGTCAGACGGGGGCCGTCGTTATATTGATTTTCAGAGGATTTGATAGGCAAATGGGCAAAAATGGGCCCTGGAGAGAGAGAGAGAGAGAGAGAGAGAGAGAGAGAGAGAGAGAGAGAGAGAGAGAGAGAGAGAGAAAGGATGTGTAGAAGACAAAAAGGGAGGGGGTAGAGTCTGATTTTATTTATTTGGATTTGGGTTCTCTGTGGCTGAGTACATCTAGATAAGACCTAGTTTTCGACTTAGTGCTTACGTTTTTTGTGATCAGGCCTTTTGAGTAGAATGGGTTACTGTTAGTGCCAACTTTCTGGGTGGATGTCTGTCTGGAGTTGGTTGAGTCTGCGTGTGTTCTATTGCTGTGTTAAGTGTACATGTGTTCTATTGCTCGGTTAAGTGTACATGTGTTCTATTGCTCGGTTAAGTGTACATGTGTTCTATTGCTCGGTTAAGTGTACATGTGTTCTATTGCTCGGTTAAGTGTACATGTGTTCTATTGCTGTGTTAAGTGTACATGTGTTCTATTGCTCGGTTAAGTGTACATGTGTTCTATTGCTCGGTTAAGTGTACATGTGTTCTAGTACTGGGTTATATGTACATGTGTTCTAGTGCTGGGTTAAATGTACATGTATTCTATGGCTGGGTTAAGTGTACACGTGTTTTACTGTGGATTAAGTGTACATGTGTTCTTGTGCTGGATTAAGTGTACATGTGTTCTTGTGTGGATTAAGTGTACATGTGTTCTTGTGCTAGGTTAGGTGTACATGTATTTTAGTGCTGGGTTAAATGTACATGTGTTCTAGTGCTGGGTTACGTGTACATGTGTTCTAGTGCAGGGTTAAGTGTACACGTATTCTAGTGCTGGGTTAAGTGTACATGTGTTCTAGTGCTGGGTTAAGTGTACACGTGTTCTAGTGCTGGGTTAAGTGTACACGTGTTCTAGTGCTGGGTTAAGTGTACACGTGTTCTAGTGCTGGGTTAAGTGTACACGTGTTCTAGTGCTGGGTTAAGTGTACACGTGTTCTAGTGCTGGGTTAAGTGTACATGTGTTCTATGGCTGGGTTAAGTGTACACGTGTTCTAGTGCTGGGTTAAGTGTACATGTGTTCTAGTGCTGGGTTAAGTGTACATGTGTTCTATGGCTGGGTTAAGTGTACACGTGTTCTAGTGCTGGGTTAAGTGTACACGTATTCTAGTGCTGGGTTAAGTGTACACGTGTTCTAGTGCTGGGTTAAGTGTACACGTGTTCTAGTGCTGGGTTAAGTGTACACGTGTTCTAGTGCTGGGTTAAGTGTACACGTGTTCTAGTGCTGGGTTAAGTGTACATGTGTTCTAGTGTGTACACGTGTTCTAGTGCTGGGTTAAGTGTACACGTGTTCTAGTGCTGGGTTAAGTTGGGTTAAGTGTACACGTGTTCTAGTGCTGGGTTAAGTGTACATGTGTTCTAGTGCTGGGTTAAGTGTACACGTGTTCTAGTGCTGGGTTAAGTGTACACGTGTTCTAGTGCTGGGTTAAGTGTACACGTGTTCTAGTGCTGGGTTAAGTGTACATGTGTTCTAGAGCTGGGTTAAGTGTACATGTGTTCTAGTGCTGGGTTAAGTGTACATGTGTTCTAGTGCTGGGTTAAGTGTACATGTGTTCTAGTGCTGGGTTAAGTGTACATGTGTTCTAGTGCTGGGTTAAGTGTACATGTGTTCTAGTGCTGGGTTAAGTGTACATGTGTTCTAGTGCTGGGTTAAGTGTACATGTGTTCTAGTGCTGGGTTAAGTGTACATGTGTTCTAGTGCTGGGTTAAGTGTACATGTGTTCTAGTGCTGGGTTAAGTGTACATGTGTTCTAGTGCTGGGTTAAGTGTACATGTGTTCTAGTGCTGGGTTAAGTGTACGTATGTTCTATTGATGGGCTAAGTGTACATGTTTTCTAGTGCATACATACACAGTGGACAGACATGTTCTTTAAACTGCTAGGAGGGAGGGGGATGCAGCAACAACAACAACAGCAACAACAACAACAACAACAAGAACAACACATCCACACAAGAAGAGAACTTTCAGAGGAAAATGTGCATGCATTAGGCAGGATTAGTTTTTTAGTTAGTCCTTCCTCTTTGGTCTAAGGCGGCGCATAGGGCAGAGGTCATAGCTCTCCGTGTCTGGTGGTTAATTGCCACTTGAGGTCCTCGATGTTTGTTAGGCCCATGGTTGAGCCTTCCCAGACGATGGTTCTACGCAATCTCTCTCTCTCTCTCTCTCTCTCTCTCTCTCTCTCTCTCTCTCTCTCTCTCTCTCTCTCTCTCTCTCTCTCTCTCGGTCTTCTTTTTTTTTCCATTCTGGTGTCCATATAAGGGCTTGATAGGGAAGTGTTTTCTTACACATTCTGAGTGCACGGCCGATGTAGTTCCATCGACGCTTTCTTATAAAGCTGGATAGTCTGGTCTGGTGTTCTTAGTTTTAGCTGTATAGCAAACGGGTCACCCCGTCTTTGCTCCGCTCTTGTGCCAACGAAAAACACAGAATGTTTATCACAGTCCCTTGTGGAAAGATTGACAGACTGCTGTCTCAGCATATCTAGCATACACACGCATTAAAGCATACAGTAGCCATCCGAAGTGCTAACACAAACAGTCCGGCATTAAAAATGCAGTTCATCTTTGATGGTAGCAGAAGTCACCAAGAGATCAACAGTTGCCCACGCGATCAATTTTAATCACATACGGGCACCAACAACATTACTACTACAGGCATCGCGCCATTTTCTGAATATACAATTCACACCACCACGTTGGTCACATTCGAAAAAACATTCCAATTGAAATCCGCAGCTCACAGTGTCACGCCATGCATTCAACTCAGAAGCTGGGCGACGAAACTATATTCAATCTACAAATGGAGCAAAAATGCATCGGCCACCGTCCGGCAGAAGCAAAAAATTTGCCTCGACTCCAAACGGTGCCCCTGCCTAGCGTCCATTTTGACCGTAAGTCAATGGAAAGCTGTATATATTGCCTTGCTTCGTCTCTTGTCTTATTTGAGTATTGGATCTGACATCTGTCAAATATGCATTACAAAAAACATTCATTAAAAGGGAAGCATGCATTATAGAGGCAACAGGCAGGAGAAATCAAATGTAAACGAAAAAAGAAACATCTTACAGAAAGAAAGCCTTCATAGAACAGAACCGCTGTTGGAGACAGGAAGCAGCAGAATAATACAAACAGTCAGTCGCTGTGAACTATGCAGTAGAAAGATTACCTCCATAGACAATGTTTGGGAACCATAACACATAAGGTGTGGAGTGATCCGAGAACCAGACGAAGCCCGGGGTCTAGCAGAACTAATGAGATCAAGGTGAGACTGGGTCAGCTATGGGATGATGGGGTGATGAAGGAAACGAGAGTGATAATAACATCTTCATCGTCTGGTGACAGATGATGGCAGGAACGATAAGCGGGTCGGCTGAAGGAGCCAGAGGAAACAGGTTACTGACAGATGGACAGAAGGATGAGACGCCTGACATGTTTGTCTGTCTATAACTTGACAGGCTGGGACAGTTGTTTGGCAGTGTTTCATTGCAGACAGGCCAGTAGGTGGGACAGACAATGGTTAGGTCTCACTAAATAACACTGACTTTCTGTCTGGCAAGCTGAGTGATTGTCTGGCTAGTTGACTGATTGTCGGGCCCGCTGATTGATTGGCTAACTGATTGACTGTTTAACTGATTGATTGGCAAGCTGGTTGAGTGGTTAACTGATTTATTTGGCAAGCTGGTTGACTAGTTAACTGATTGATTGGTCAGCTGCTTGGCTGGTTAACTGATTGATTGGCAAGCTGATTGACTGGTTAACTGATTGATTGGCAAGCTAGTTGAGTGGTTACCTGATTGATTGGCGAGCTAGTTGACTGGTTTTATTATTACCGCGAACAACACACGATACATTGTACAGTTTACTATTAGACATGTCTCGCTGCATCTCTTCTAGTGCGTTACTACAGAGTTAAATCAACATATATGAAGGCACGGCAACTACCCCCCCCCCCCTTCCCAACCCTTCCACTTGTGTCTGCACCCTTAATGTCAAACAGTCTTGCATTAGGGTGCGCTTGGTTGTAGAGCGCTGTGTTCGATGATCAGCTGTGATCATTAGCGCTTACCGTTGTGTAAATGAAGATGACGAGGATGATGATGGTGAAGGTGTTAATAATCAGGACAACAATGATGGTGGTGGTACTGATGATGATAATGTTGTATGAGAACTTGGCTGGCACTATCAAATGTTGTATGAGAACTTGGCTGGCACTATCAAATATTGTGTGAGAACTTGGCTGGCACTATCAAATGTTGTATGAGAACTTGGCTGGCACTATCAAATATTGTGTGAGAACTTGGCTGGCACTATCAAATGTTGTGTGAGAACTTGGCTGGCACTATCAAATGTTGTGTGAGAACTTGGCTGGCACTATCAAATGTTGTATGAGAACTTGGCTGGCACTATCAAATATTGTGTGAGAACTTGGCTGGCACTATCAAATGTTGTGTGAGAACTTGGCTGGCACTATCAAATGTTGTGTGAGAACTTGGCTGGCACTATCAAATGTTGTGTGAGAACTTGGCTGGCACTATCAAATATTGTATGAGAACTTGGCTGGCACTATCAAATGTTGAATGAGAACTTGGCTGGCACTATCAAATGTTGTGTGAGAACTAAGCTGGCACTATCAAATGTTGTGTGAGAACTTAGCTGGCACTATCAAATATTGTGTGAGAACTTGGCTGGCACTATCAAATGTTGTGTGAGAACTTGGCTGGCACTATCAAATGTTGTGTGAGAACTTGGCTGGCACTATCAAATGTTGTGTGAGAACTTAGCTGCCACTATCAAATGTTGAAGAACTTTTTTCTATATTTTCAGAAACGAAAGGGCGGAAGAAGAGGAAGCCGTACACAAGATACCAGACCATGGTGCTGGAGAACGAGTTCCTCAGTAGCTCCTACATCACCCGACAGAAGAGGTGGGAGATCTCCTGCAAGCTGCAGCTGTCGGAGCGACAGGTCAAGGTTTGGTTCCAGAATCGCAGGATGAAGAGGAAGAAGCTCACCGAGAGAGCCAAAACCAGAATCCGAGATGACCAGGAATGTAAGGATGATGAGCCCAGCAGCGGTCATTTACAACAACAATCTCAGCAGCAGCAACTTCCACACTCCCACCATCTCAACAGTGAGCAACCTCACCAGGCTCAGCAGCATCCCCATCAGCAACAACAACAACAGCATCATCACCAGCATCCACAACAGCATAGCTCACATCTTCAGCACCACAGGAGTAATCACAATGGAAGTGGTGGAGGTAGCCACCACCATCCTCACCACCACCACCACCACCAACATCATCATCATATACAACATCCGCATGGGTCTATGGCTCCCACTAAAGCGGATGTTATCGAGCACAAGAATGGACCAATCATATAGCAGGCTCTGGCCAGACATGCTGTGTACAGACTGCGGACAGACATGCTGTGTACAGACTGAGGCCAGACATGCTGTGTACAGACTGCAGACATCTCTGTCCAGACAATCTATGTTCAAACTGCAGACATCTCTGTCCAGACATGTTGTGTACAGACTGCAGACAGCTCTCTCCAGACATGTTGTGTACAGACTGCAAACAGACATGCTGTGTACAGACTGCAAACAGACATGCTGTGTACAGACTGCAAACAGACATGCTGCGTAGAGACTGCAAACAGGCATGCTGTGTACAGACTGCAAACAGACATGCTTTGTAGAGACTGCAGACAACGCTGTCCAGACATGCTGTGTACAGACTGCAAACAGACAAAGATTGCTTTTATTTTATTATACGTTCACCAGCGAGTTTGTCAGTATGCTCTTCCTCTAGGTCGTCTTGCTTGCTTGGTTTTTGTGTCCCACTTGTCACCTGGTCGTGGCAGCGCTTCAGCTTGCCGACAGACTACATTTACATGATTCTGTTATGACTTTAAGGAAGAGAAGAGGGTGACAGGTGAAACTGCTCCGAGTGGACAGGTGAGCATCTACCGGCAATATACAGTATCTTGTCTGAAGCTCAACTTTTTTTGTAGAGCTAATGCAGGAAGTCAAATAGCGGACACTTCGCCAAACTTAGTTCTAAATCATATGTGTGCTCACTCAGACAGAACATGGAGAAAACGTGATTACATTCGTGTGTGTACTCAGACAGAACATGGAGAAAACGTGATTACATTCGTGTGTGTACTCAGACAGAACGTGGAGAAAACGTGATTACATTCGTGTGTGCACTCAGACAGAACGTGGAGAAAACGTGATTACATTCGTGTGTTCACTTAGACAGAACGTGGAGAAAACGTGATTACATTCGTGTGTTCACTTAGACAGAACATGGAGAAAACGTGATTACATTCGTGTGTGTACTCAGACAGAACGCGCAAGCAGGCAGGGTGATTGCAAGTTTACTTGTGTTAACTCCGCACATTCAGAATGCCTAACTGCAGCTCATAAGGTCATCTGTGCAGTGTTATTCAGAACATATCATAAACTAGTCATCAGCTGGTTTCCGAGACGACGTATCTCTTTGAAGACAGTGCTGAGACAAACCAGCACGAGCGTGGACAGTACACAGTGGGCAAAGCTGTTGACAAGACAGGGGAACTGGCTAAGGTTCAGGAGTCATCATGGCTGCCTGATGAATTTCAATGGTTTAGACCCAACAATGAACCCGGTTTTCTCGTATGGCACTGTCAGCCTAATATTTGTCCCTCTATTGAATTTTGCATTTCTAACATATGCATCTATGTACGGCTTCATTATTCCTTACCTGAAAATTATGTCTGCTGTATGAAACCTACATATCCTCTGTAATATTGTATTCTTTCTCACATTTCTGATGGCTAGAACTGGTGCTTTGTCATGAGATAGAGGGCAGGAGTTTGCAAGATGCGCATTAATGTCTTATTCTCATTCTTTATCTTAGTCTTTTTATCTTCACTGCAGTCGGGTTTGCCTATACTTGCTCCAAAAGAGATGTCCCTCACTGGAGCATTTGTGCTTGAGCGTACAGAGGCCTATTCCCAGTATGTTAACAGCGGTTATTGGCTGGGTTGAGGAGACTCATGGCTGTTCTCTGACCCCAGTGGCATGTTAAATTATAGAGATGGTCGTAACTGGAGCCAGAGAGGTGAGCAAGCAATTGGTGGTGCTTCCTTTGCCGATGTTTCATTGCTGTTTCCTTCATTTCACACGTTGGGTGTTGTTGTCAATATTAACTTGTGTCGTGTGTATAGCCAACTAGCTCCTAACGTAGTCCATCTGGTAGCAGTTAGGTTAGCATGATGCCGGTCACGACTCAGGTACCGCTGACCGTCGAAGCTGGAAGTTGACAGTTGACTAAATGATGGTTTTGGAGATCCAGCTCTTAACCACCTATGTGATCTCAGTTTTAGCTGCCTATGTGATCTCAGTCTCAGCCATCCATGTGATCTCAGTCTTAGCCATCCATGTGATCTCAGTCTTAGCCATCCATGTGATCTCAGTTTTAGCTGCCTATGTGATCTCAGTCTTAGCCATCCATGTGATCTCAGTCTTAGCCATCCATGTGATCTCAGTCTTAGCCATCCATGTGATCTCAGTCTTAGCCATCCATGTGATCTCAGTCTTAGCCATCCATGTGATCTCAGTCTTAGCCATCCATGTGATCTCAGTCTTAGCCATCCATGTGATCTCAGTCTTAGCCATCCATGTGATCTCAGTCTTAGCCATCCATGTCATCTCAGTCTTAGCCATCCATGTGATCTCAGTCTTAGCCATCCATGTCATCTCAGTCTTAGCCACTTAGGTGATTTCAATCTTAGCTACCTATGTGATCTCAGTGTTAGCAACCTGCCTAATCTCAGTCTTAGCCATATATCTTATGTAAGTCTAAACCATTACTTTCATTCTCATCATATTCAGCTGAAACTACATCTATGTCATCCATAGTTCCTTCTAATTGAGATATTCACTGTTTATAGTTCGTTCTAAATGAGATATTCAGTGTTCATAATTCCTTCTAAATGAGATATTCAGTGTTCATAGTTCGTTCTAATTGAGATATTCACTGTTCATAGTTCGTTCTAATTGAGATATTCACTGTTCATAGTTCGTTCTAATTGAGATATTCACTGTTCATAGTTCGTTCTAATTGAGATATTCAGTGTTCATAATTCGCCTGCAGACAGTAGCGGGGAGACGTTTTGCTTGAAAATTCATCTGGCCTTAAGTTTACCGCCGTTGTTGACATCTGGCGCAGGCGATCATGAGTCATCACAACAGTGGGCCCACGTGTAAAGCTGTTGCTTGCCCACGTGTAACACCCAGATGCTTCCCGTGCTCCTAGCATGCCTGTGCTCATTTGCGCTGACATGGCAGTTAATTGATCGTCGCTACATGTCTCACGATCAACTAGCAACCAGCCCTCACTGATTTATATCAGTGAGTACCTTCACGATGAGTTGTCCGATTCGGAACATATGTAGAGTTGTCCGATTCGGAACATATGTAGTCATTGATTTTCCGTTTACAAACTGAAGGTACTGTTTTCTTCCATTAAAGAAAGCAATGTGTTTTTTTTTTTTTTTTTAAATAACGAAAACAGCTGTATAATATTTGTGTGTTGTATGTAAGCGACAGTATTCTTGTCAAATGTTTAATATATTGTATACGTTTTTTAATTGTTTCCTATCAGTGGAAACATTTTACGTTTGTATATATTCATTGTGGAAAACATTGGTGAACTTTTTTATTTAATGTAGGGGAAATAACTTCAGGAACTAACATTCAAAGGGAAATAAACGACTTTGATGTGCTGAGCTCATACAGAGACAGATTTTGTGAAGAATAAAGAGATTACAAGCAAGAAAACAGAAGCTGTGCTACCAGACTGGACATACAACAAAGTGTGTCATCCGTGTTCTAAAATTATGCATTGTTTTCCATTGAGTCAGATGACGCTTGGATCAATCAAACTTCATCGTCTTCGACTGACGCAACTGACATACATCACTACAGTCGTCGACCCCATGTGTTTACGTGTTTATTACATCCTTCTCGTGACGTAATTTTTTGTTATTTGAAGCCCAGATCTGGCTTTTGCCAGGGGCTGCAATATAGGCAGGCCATCACTATGGCCAATTGTCTGAACGCGGTTTCTGAGACCTCTCCACGGTGATCCTCATCCGCATGGTGGCACTTTGTGTCATCAGGTGTTTATCGCTTGTGTGATGTCCTGGTGGGGTAGAAAGTCAGTCAGTCAGACCCCATGTGGGATGCAGTTTTCGGTCGTTATTTTGAAGACCCACCCTGGCTGTTGAACGCGGTTTCAGGGACCTCTCCACGGGTGATCCTGATCAGATTTGTTTTCTCTTTGTGTCACCGGGTGTTTATCGCTTGTGTAATGTCCTGGTTGGGTTAGAAAACAAAAACTGACATACCCTTTATTTCACTAATCTCTGAGAGCGAGTAGTTAAGTTGTAGACCGATCACCCAACCCCACCACACCCCCTCCCACCCCTTATTTTTAATTGTTTTGTGTAGTGTATCCATTTTTGATGGTAGTCTTATGTAGTCTCGTAGTCTGTGAATTCACGAAGACAGCTTGTGTAGTCTGTAAATTCTTACGCCAGTCTGATTAAGTTTGTAAACTCTCGATGACCGCTTGTGTAGTGTGTAAATTCTTGATGACAGTCTGATTAAGTCTGTGAATTCACGATAACAGCTTGTGTAGTGTGTAAATTCTTGATGACAGTCTGATTAAGTCTGTGAATTCACGATGACAGCTTGTTTAGTCTGAAAATTCTTGATGACAATCTGATTTAGTCTGTAAATTCACGATGACAGCTTGTGTAGTCTGTAAATTCTTGATGACAGTTTGATGTAGTCTGTGAATTCTTGATGACAGTCTGATGTAGTGTATGAATTCTTGATGACAGTCTGATGTAGTCTGTGAATTCTTGATGACAGTCTGATGTAGTCTGTGAATTCTTGATGACAGTCTGATGTAGTCTGTACATTCTTGATGACAGTCTTGTGTATTCTGTAAATTCATGAGGACTGTGTTTTATGTTGTCTGTAAATTCCTAATGTCAGTCTGGTCTAGTCTCTTAATTCCTAATTAGGAGTTTGTCCTTGAAATCATTCAGTATTGAATAATCTCTGAATTCTGTTTTTTTTTTTTTTTTGTAAAGGGAGGTGGTGGTGGGAGTTTTTCTGTGTAAAGGGAGGTGGTGGTGGGAGTTTTTCTGTGTAAAGGGAGGTGGTTGTGGGAGTTTTTCTGTGTAAAGGGAGGCGGTTGTGGGAGTTTTTCTGTGTAAAGGGAGGTGGTGGTGGGAGTTTTTCTGTGTAAAACTGTGTTGCCAGTTTGAGATAGCTGAAGACTCACTGAATTACCTGACTATAGTCTGTCATTTCTAGTCTGTCTTTGCCGCTTCTAGGACACGTCTGTAGTCTCACTGTGTCAGGCTTGTAACTCTCGTGTGTGACCTGTAGGTCGAGTAGCAGTTCTAGTATATGGTCCACACCAACCCGGTGGCACAGCACAGATAGTAGTGATGATGTATCAAACACCCCCACCCTTGACAGACTGGTAGAATGTTCTCACTCGGCGGATGTTTGCTGTATTGCAAAAATATTTATCGTATTAAATAAACATAATAACAGATTGCGGTATTAAATAGGCAAGACACAACTGGTTTGCGAATGTCTAGAATGTAAGTACACTGAAATAAAGTCAAAAATATATGGAGAAATCGACCAAATTGGTGAATCTGTATTTGACTATTTACTGACATTCTCTTGATCTAACACTGTATTTCCGAGAAACTGTGGCATCATTACGTCATAGATGACCACATCCTAATCTTCTGAAGACCATCGGGCGAGGATTCAGTCGAGGGCAGCTGAGCTGGACACCGTCAAAAAGTTACGACAGACAACAACAGGCTGCAGCTGTTACACTGATTTTCATTCTTGACTTTTACTGGCGGGACAAAAAGGAGAAAAACTGTTTCCTAAAATATCTGAGGGATTCATTTGTTGGAATCGCCAGGCCGACAGAATAACACCAGAAAAGTTCATACAGTCAGCTTAAGGGTAGTTTAAGGGGATGAATAGTTTGAGGGAATAAATAGTTTAAAGGGATGACTAGTCTGAGGGTATGACTAGTTTGAAGGGATGACTAATTTAAGGGGATGACTAGTTTGACGTCTTGGCTAGTTTGACGGAATAACTAATTTGAGGGGATGTTTGAAAAGGTGACTACTTTGACAGGATGACTAATTTGATGGAAGACTAGTTTGAGGGGGTGACTAGTTTGAGGGGATGACTAGTTTGAGGAGATGACTAGTTTGAGGGGATGACTAGTTTGAGGGGGTGACTAGTTTGAGAGGACGTCAAGTTTGAGGGGATGACTAATTTGATGGAAGACTAGTTTGAGGGGATGACTAGTTTGAGGGGGTGACTAGTTTGAGGGGTGACTAGTTTGAGGGGGTGACTTGTTTGAGGGGGTGACTAGTTTGAGAGGGTGACTAGTTTGAAAGGACGACTAGTGTGAGGGGATGACTAGTTTGAGAAGACGACTAGTTTGAGGGGATGACTAATTTGATGGAAGACTAGTTTGAGGGGGTGACTAGTTAGAGGGGATGACTAGTTTGAGGGGGTGACTAGTTTAAGGGGGTGACTAGTTTGAGGGGTGACTAGTTTGAGGGGATGACTAGTTTGAGGGAATGCCTAGTTTGAGAGGACGACTAGTTTGAGGGGATGACTAATTTGATGGAAGACTAGTTTGAGAGGATGACTAGTTTGAAGGGATGACTAGTTTGAGGGGATGACTAATTTGATGGAAGACTAGTTTGAGGGGGTGACTAGTTTGAGGGGATGACTAGTTTGAGGGGATGGCTAGTTTGAGTCGATGACTAGTATCAGGGGATGACTAGTCTCAGCGGGTGACTAGTTTCAGGGAATGACTAGTTTGAGGGGATGGCTAGTTTGACGTAATGACTAATTTGATAGATGACTTGTTTGAGGGGACGACTAGTTTAGGGGGAAAACTAGTTTAAGGGGATGACTATTTAGACGTAATGACTAGTTTGACGGAATGACTAGTGCGACGGAATGACTATTATGAGGGAATGACAAGTTTGAGGGGATGACTAGTCTGAGGGGACGACAAGTTTGAGGGGATGACTAGTTTGAGAGGACGACTAGTTTGAGGGGATGACTAGTTTGAGAGGACGACTAGTTTGAGGGGATAACTAATTTGATGGAAGACTAGTTTGAGGGGTTGACTAGTTTGAGGGGGTGACTAGTTTGAGGGGGTGACTAGTTTGAGGGGGTGACTAGTTTAAGGGGATGACTAGTTTGAGAGGACGTCTAGTTTGAGGGGATGACTAATTTGATGGAAGACTGGTTTGAGGGGATGACTAGTTTGAGGGGGTGACTAGTTTGAGGGGGTGACTAGTTTGAGGGGGTGACTAGTTTGAGGGGGTGACTAGTTTTAGAGGGTGAATAGTTTGAGAGGGTGACTAGTTTGAAAGGACCACTAGTGTGAGAGAATGACTAGTTTGAGAGGACGACTAGTTTGAGGGGATGACTAATTTGATGGAAGACTAGTTTGAGGGGATGACTAGTTTGAGGGGATAACTAATTTGATGGAAGACTAGTTTGAGGGGTTGACTAGTTTGAGGTGATGACTAGTTTGAGGGGATGACTAGTTTAAATGGGTGACTAGTTTGAGGGGGTGTTAGTTTGAGGGGGTGACTAGTTTGAGGGGATGACTAATTAGATGGAAGACTGGTTTGAGGG